GACTTTTGGCTGAACACTTGTCTAAATGGTAATAGTCGATGGGCCAAAAATCAGCCTTTCACTAATTACTTCCGACACAATCCCTTTATTGACTGGGCTATATTGCCAATCGGCTGAATTGGAAATATGTTTAAAAAAAATGAACCAGTCGTACAGTATTATTTAAACACATACTGTGTTTGGAGTTAGGCCTATATCACTAATTACTTTAGTTTTATGTTAAGAGTTCAGAATGTAAGTGTTGACAGCACATTACACCTAGGTACGAGAACATTATACATTTACTTTATGTAAGCTACCATCATCATGGTTCATACTATCACAAGACAACTTATTTTAAACAATGCCCACACTTTTTAGATAATAAAAGATAACATTTAACACAATGACAGCCTTATCAAATACAGTACAATGTTCATTTTGGGATGACACCTAGGTTTGCATGTCTGTACCTATTTTGTTTTGTTTATTTCAGCTTAACTTAACCAATAAATGCTTTTATTAATACTTCTGAAGTCAAACGGGGTAAAGCCTGTGGGTAACAGCTAGTATTTTTAAATTCAAAATACGCGGGGTTCAACTTCGGCCGTCGTAGTAGTTCGGCGCTCTGCAGACAGACGGCGCGCTGATCAGTGGCTCGCTCGTGTTACTTCTTTGAAAACATGCATGACTTTAAACACATTTAATTCATGAAATTTAAATCTTAGCTATTTGAAACTTTTACATGAAGGACTTGATAATATTTTGAAGGGGAATATGAAAGCAAAAATTGATAAAATGTCCGTTAATAGGTTGAAAAATAGTGATGAATTTCGACTTATATTTTTTTAATATTCTACGAATCTAAAAAAAAAAAAAAATTTTTTGTTTCATATTTCACTAGGCATTAAAGCATTCTTTAAATTGAGACCAAATTCAAAATTTTACATCAACAAATAAACCCGGAGTTTGTGTTTAAATTTAACATTATTCTTATGGGACTAAAAATCCAATATGGCGGAGGTACCACAGACTCTTAAATAGTTTTTGTCCGATTTTGATTAAATTTGGTTTCATGGTGTAAGTCGGGATAAACTTGAATGAGTTTGCGAACCAGCATGATCTGACCATGGGAACGGTGTTTTATGAGGTAAAAAATGGTTTTTCGTATTTTTGACCGTCAAAACACAAAATTTCAGAAATTTCTCTCTAGACCTTTTTAAAGAGCTTAAAAAACAAATAATTTAGTATATCAAAGTGTTTTTGTACGGTTATTGGTAATGGAGAAAATTCTAAAAATTGTAAATTTAATTTCCCATGTTATTCTTATGGAGAATATTGTAAAATGTTGTAGTTTGCTTGTTTATGGATATATATTTTGATCAAACTTGGCAATGTGCTTTCAGTAATTTTCAGTAATGTGCTTTGAGGAGTGGCACGCTTATTTTGGTGAATTTGTAAGGTTTTTTTTTCAAAATTGTACAAAATTAGAAAGTAGAGATAAACTATTGAACCGTATATTCATTTTGTTGGTAATAGTCAGTAGGATTCATAAATGGTAATAAAAACCAATTTCATAAAGGTGGATTTTTAGAAAAAACTTTTGACGATACTGCCATTTTAGGTTAGATGATGACAAGTGTTAACTGTTCTTTCAGCTTTGAAAAATCTAAAGCTTCTATTTGTGTGACCAGCCTGACAACATTTAATTATACTTTTCTTCGTCTATAAGTGAATATATAAAACAACGTTTTGTACTTTACAAATTACATATTATATGTGTTTCAGAGATCGACATTTTTTGTTGATTTGCTAAACTAGCCTCACGTAAAAAATGGCTATTTAACAAAGATTTTTTATCAGCTTTTGGAATGTATTATGACATTATACTCTAGCTATACCAAATGAAAGTTTAATTCCTCCTTGTTGCAGTGGTAGGCTATCACTTGTCTTTGAACTATCACTTGAGCTAGGCTATCACTTGATTTTTGGAAATTACTCATCTTTCACAACGAAACATGTCGAGTTCGCGCATTATTTTCATTCAAAATGTAACTCAAGATTAAAAAGCGATATACTTATGTTAGACTATATGGTTCATTCTTATAATAAAATGAAACTTCAGAATCTCTTCTTCCCATCGGTATAAAAGTTATGTCATTTCACCGACTACCTATATAAATGTACGTAAAATGCAACGGGGAAAAATGTTACGTTTTTAATCGACAAATTTCCTCGGCTGCCACTTCAGCAACACAATTTGAAATTGACATTTTTTGTTATTTCGCCACTCATATACAATTAATAGAGGTATTAGGTATTATATGGCTATTTAGGTATTATAGATAACTTAACAGATTTTTCGTCTCAGCTCTGACTCATTCTTTGTAGTGGATGACCCAGGTTTTGGCCATCATCATAAAAATATCAGGGATTAAGATCAATTTATCTCTCGTGAGTGCACAGTTATCGACATTGTATCCACCTCAGGACATTGTATTTTTGACGATGTCATGCACATGAATGTGTAAAAAGGTAGCCTAATAAAGAATTTGATTTGATTAGGCCTACCGTTGACCGTTTAGGCCTAACTTACAGAAATAAGTTCTAGGCCTAGTTTTTGTCATGTCGTGTTTTGTGTCATAGGCCTATTGGGTTTGTTCGTGTTCTAGACGACGAGAGAGGCATAAGTTTTACAACCTAATCCCCCAAAATAGGCCTATAAGTTATGTGATTATGGGGCTTAGGCCTAACAGTGCTTAGAAAACCCGGTCCTCCTCTACAAATAACGAGTCAGAATTGTTGGCAAATTATTTGATATACTGTACCGGTATCTAAAATGTGGGAAGGTATGGGGGTTTAGTGAGTGGGAGAAAATTTCGCGCCGTTCCGGCCAAACCTCGCATGCGGGGTTGGTTCGGCAGATTGGCCACAACCTAAACCCCAACTCTCACTTGTTAGCTGCGGAGAGCTACCTTCTGCCACTGGGTGTTGGTCCACCTACAGAACCAAGTGAGGGGGGCCCTAGACTAAGGTGTAATGCGATCCGTGCCAAGAGTCTTGTGGCACTGGGGGCCTAATATTCAGTGTCTTAACGGAGCCTTCTGGGAACCAGGGGTAACCCAGTCGTACACACCCCTTACCTCTCTAATCGGGTCACTGGGGAGGTGGACTTAAATACCTGGTATTCGTGAGAACAATGTAGACAGTCTGACCCAAATGGAGGAGGAAGGTCTACTGAAATCTGACGATGACGACAAGCTCGCAGAAACCGGAAAGGAACGAAAAACGACTTTCCAGGGGCGAGTTGCAAAGATGGAGGATAGCGGATGCTTTAGCCAAAGGCGAAAAGGTGCTATCCAGAAGTGAGAGGAGGCTGGTGTGGGCTGCCAAGCACCCTAACTCTGCTGCCTGCAAAGCCAGTTCCTCTGGGAACTAGGATGCTGGGAAAAAGCAGAGCAAGGGTGGTACCCCCAAAGCTGACTCTAATGAAGCCTCCAGGAAGAAAGGTGGAGGCTGTGCTGACGCAGCCACAAAGGATTGGCTGGTCAAGCAAGTTCAGGAGCTGAGACCTTTCAGGGAAATCTCGCTACGGCTTGCCCCAGCCAGAGACCTTGTGAAAGCTGTGAAGGTATATTTATGTGCCCAGCCCTACAAGGTCTGCGTATGAGATCCCTCGTACGAAAATCGACTTTCCAGGGGTGAGTTGCAAAGACGGAGGATAGCGGATGCTTTAGCCAAAGGCGAAAAGGTGCTATCCAGAAGTGAGAGGAGGCTGGTGTGGGCTGCCAAGCACCCTAACTCTGCTGCCTGTAAAGCCAGTTCCTCCGGGAACTAGGATGCTGGGAAAAAGCAGGTCAAGGGTGGTACCCCCAAAGCTGACTCTAATGAGGCCTCCAGGAAGAAAGGTGGAGGCTGTGCTGACGCAGCCACAAAGGATTGGCTGGTCAAGCAAGTTCAGGAGCTGAGTCCTTTCAGGGAAATCTCGCTACGGCTTGCCCCAGCCAGAGACCTTGTGAAAGCTGTGAAGGTATATTTAGGTGCCCAGCCCTACAAGGTCTGCGTATGAGATCCCTTGGCCTATTGATGGGAGACCAAAGGGAAGAACAGGTCACCATAGTCAAGAGGCTCTCACGGTTCACCAAGGACCTGGGATTTGACGGAGAATGAGGACCTGTGAACGAGGGTGCACAATAAGCTGTTCTAGCTGCGATGCAATCCCATGGTAACTTGTAAGCCTGGCCCTCTATTAAAAAAAAAAAAAAAAAAAAAAATCTAAAATGTGATATCGTGTAATTTTTAGATAGGCCTATGTCTACTTTACAGTATTTTTCACGCTGAATGCAAAAATGCGATAAGTTTTTGTCGGAGAGATTCATAAGTGGCCATAAAACGAATGTTAAAATTACGAATCTAAGGTTCATTGAGCTATACTGATGGTAATATGGCGTGGTCTGGACGGGTCCGTGTGTGGACTGTGGACTGAGTGAGGAGGATCCGAGCAAACAGCTGTTTATACTCGACTTAATGCAGAATGACATCAATTCGTTTTGAAACCAAATAATAAGTTCTTATTTAGGCATGTGAGGAAGGTAGGTCGGGTTTTAGGCGGATTCGTGACTGTATTGTGTTTTGAAGTGAGGTTAGACTAGGTAGGTTAGGTTTTAATGAACCGAATCATTAATTTATGCAACTTCAATTGTTTAGTATTTACAGAGGCGGCCCTACATAACTTATAGGTGAACATGGCAGTGCCCGGGGCCCCACACAGCCATATTTTATTAAGAGAGGCTTTAGGTACTAAGAGACGCCCGCTATTGAACATCGCCTTAGGCCCCACAATCTCTAGCCACTGAGTATTTAATTTTCATAATCTCCATCATAGCCCTCCTGTATTTTTAGTCTATGGTACCCTAGTAACATAGGCTAGATGCGATGTAGGCTATGAAGACTAGGCCTATTAAAGTTAAAAAGTACGGTAACTTAATATTTTTGTAGTTTCTAGGCTATATAATACTTACCATAATGTAGCCTAACTAAAAAAGCATTGTTAAGGCAAACTTTTGTCCAGACTCCTTAATAAAAACAACAAAACAAAACAGCCAACCAAATCCAAACCAACCACCAGTCCACCTGAGTCCACCACGACCAACAAACAAAATAAACACAAACAAAACAACTAACTAAACAGTCAAGCAAGTCAGATGACTGGACTGGAGACTGGACTGAGGTGAGGTTAGTATGGGCTAAGGGAGTATGTTTTATCTATGGTATGGGGTATGGGTTAGTAGTACCATCACTGAGCTAAAATTATAACTGGAGGTAGCACTGCCATGGCAGAAGTCTGTCAAAAGCGTGTCGCTGATTTTGTTAGGTTGGTATAGCATTAAGTTTTCTTGTCATAGCAATGACATGGCTTCTTATAACTAGGTTGGTATAGCAGTGAGTATTTTTGTCATACTTGAATACTTTTAATACTTTAATAATTTTCTTTGAAATGGCGACCATACAAAGTAGGTATTTTAAGCCAAGTATAATAATAGTTATAGCAATAATATGGCTTCTTATGACACCAGACTCACGCAAACATGGCGGCTGGCGACACGCATCTTTGACATTCAGTGCTACCTCCAGTTAGAATTATAGCTCAGTGAGTACCATAGACTAACCGGTGGGGCACACGGGAGGGACTGAGGCTAACATATCTTGTAGTGTCAGCGTTCGCCGCTAGAACTGCTAAGTTGAAAAAATTTAAATTAATTTTTTTTAATTAAAAAAAAAAAATTAACTTTTTAATTATAAAATATTGTTTTAAAATAATAAAATTATTTTTAAAATTAAACTGTCATAACATAACCTAACCAACCAGACTTGCTGATAATATAAAAAAATATAAGATAAAAATCTAATTAATGATTACTTATAATTTTTAATTAATTATAAAATTAATTTTAAAATTTAGTATTATAAAATTAAACTGTCATAACCTAACCTAACCAACCAAACTTGCTGATATGAAAAATTTGTTGACAAAAAGTTATAGATGCCAGCGGGATTCGAACCCTGGACCTTCTGATCACCAATCCGAAACGTTACCTACTATGCCACGAACGCCGCTGAAATCACATCGTTTCGTTACGGGGTTACGGTAATCGTGTTGCCTCAAGAGAAGACATTAGCCACTAGAGATATGACGTCACTACACCTTTAGCCTTAGTCCCTCCCGTGTGCCCATTCCATAGACTAACCATCTATGGTAGTACCCATAGATAAAACATACTCCCTAAAGCACGGGTCACACTAGGCTGCTCGATCACCAGCGGCTGCCACCAGCACCACGAAGCAGCAGCTTTTCCACGGGTCACACTAGGCTGCTTGTTAGCCGCTGGTGATCTTGATATTAACGATGTGTGAGGTTTTGTAACAAATCACTGTAAGCTGCTTATAGTGCTTATTTGACGTTTTTACTTCTTTAAAGAAACGTCCCACAAGTACTGTTAAGTTTAGTTTTGGAATAAAAAATCAATAACCTGCTTCCCTGACCACCTAAGCTCAGTAATTTCTATGCTACAAATACTACTTTAATCGCCTAGTTTAAAGCTCAGTTCTTGTCGCCATTTCGTCCTTTTTTTGGTCCTCATCCAGCACTACTTAATATTGAATTGAGGATGTATGACAGAGAAATAATTTTATTATAAGATGCTTAACCGCAAGAAGAGACGTTAGTGGATCAGGCCATGGATACAAATAATTTATAAATAAATACACTTTTTAAAAATGCTACGTTTTTAAACGCTCAAAAAAAGAATCAGAAACATACCAAAATGTTTTACGAATGTCAGTCACCACCACATACATTCCAGGCATTACTACAATTAGTTAAACCTCTAATTAAAAAATTTAAACAGTTGCTTTTGTCCTTTTGTGTTGTTAAACCAAGTTGGAAATTATCTTTGGTCGCCGCTGGCACGCTTCTACAAGTGGTCAGACTGCGCTGCTCGCTGGCGTCAGCGAGTGCGAGTGGTCACGTGACCTCTATTCGCCGCTGCCTCGCTACCAAAAGTTGAACATGTCCAACTTCGCCAGCCGCTGACAAATACTCGCTTGCTGACGGTGCCAGCTGCGAATTTTGTGGTCACATCAAGCTGACAGAAGCGGCTTCTTTCAATTTGCCGCTGATGCCAGCCTAGTGTGACCCGTGCTTTAGGTAGTACATCGATGCTACGATGCTGTCATTGAGCTATAATGCTGTCAGCTCGTCCAGTCGGCCTCTCTGACGAGTGACGAAGACGACGACAGCGACTGGAGACTGGAGCGAAGCGAGTGAGGGTGGCAAACACCACTGAGCTATAATTCTAACTGGAGGTAGCACTGAATGTCAAAGATGCGTGTCGCCAGCCGCCATGTTTGCGTGAGTCTGGTGTCATAAGAAGCCATATTATTGCTATAACTATTATTATACTTGGCTTAAAATACCTACTTTGTATGGTCGCCATTTCAAAGAAAATTATTAAAGTATTAAAAGTATTCAAGTATGACAAAAATACTCACTGCTATACCAACCTAGTTATAGAAGCCATGTTATTGCTATGGTAAGAAAACTTACTGCTATACCAACCTAACAAAATCAGCGACTCGCTTTTGACAGACTTCTGCCATGGCAGTGCTACCTCCAGTTATAATTTTAGCTCAGTGGCAAACACATGCCGTACTTTTCATTTCCAATCCATGGCAAATGGTATTGGTGGCAATATTCGTGGGGTCCCAGTTTATCGACATCCCATAAGATCGACACTGAAATAGTCCCACTTTGTCGACAACTCAAAATGTCGACTGTGTCGGTAATATGGGATGTCTGTAAAGTGGGATGTCGGTTATGTGGGATGTCTGTTATGTGGGACGGTTGTGTAAATTTTCCCACTTTATCGACACGCAAAATGTCGACAAGCAAAACAGATCGACAAAGAGCGGGAGATTCAAATTGAAGGTGAACAGCTCTTGCTGAACAGATCGGTTGAGTATAATGAGAGTCGTTCTTTTTTAAACTCCGAACGACTTCTATTCACGGCGCTTGCAGTCTCCTTCAAATTTGTGAATGCTATCTTAACTATCTTGTGTATATAATATGTGTTCTTCCGTTTGAAGGCTTAAAATAATTTGACATTTGTCGCACTTGATTTATTGACTGTTTTTTTTCGTGTAAGAAGGTAGTTAAAACGTGCTACCTAGGCCAAACTTTGATAGAGGATGATTATGGTATCCATCCAAGTTTTTTCAATCATACATTTATTTGAAATTATAATGATATAGTACATAGTTTTTTTCATTTAACTTGCTAGCTTAGTGTTAAAACAGATTAACCCAAATAACAATTTTACGTTGTTCATGGTTACACTTTGAAATATTAAATGAGTTGTAGTACATTTGTATCAGCAACTTACACCGGAAATGAGAAAATGAAAAAACTGCGTTAATTTGCCTCTGCAGATGCTTTGATTCTTTTGTTAACCTTTCCATTGCCAATATGGCGATCCAAGCAATGACAACATAAAATTTTGCAATAATTTCTTTCCAAACTATTTTGTAGAGCTTAAAAACAAATTATTTAGTATATTGAAGCATTATTATGCGCCTATGGTTACAGAGAAAACTCAAACAGTTTTAAATTTAAAATCCCTATGTTATTCTTATGGAGAATAAGTAGGTAAACTGTTGTAGTTAGCTTGTTTATGAACATCTTTTGATCAAAATTTGAAAATGCATTTATTTCATACTAAACTACCTACATGTAATAATATAAAAAAAAAAAAAAAAAAAAAAAAAAAAAAAAACTTTAAAACCCTCCCTGTTACAACATAGGTACCTAACTCCTAAGTACTTGTTAAACTAATGCAATATTGAAATAGGGAATAATTTTGTGATATTTTAAGGAGATAGTGTAAATCCAATCAAGCAAATGGAAATTCGTTTAGTCTGCAGGTTTGCTGCGGGGGGGGGGGGGTATTTAAAATAAATCATAGAGTTGTTGCAGTATTTAGAAACACACATCAGAACCACCTGTAAACTGTAATGGCTGCTTAAGAAACTTAAACACCTTATCTAAATGCAGTAGGTATAAAGAAAATAATAGTATATGCCTACTGTATTACGTTACTAGCCCGGTAAGCGGTAAGGTGTTTTATCGAAGGCGTAGCCGAGTACGGGATTTTCGTGCGACACAATTTATTTAGGACAGAACATAAATTAGATTTTTTTCTGAAAATAAAATAGGCCGCTGAAATTAGCTGTTTATTTCAACAGCTGACTAAGTACACGGTAATACGATATTACGTTACTAGTCCTGAAAATAAGTGTGTTTACCGGACGAGTGTGGTCGTTCCCGTGCGAGACGAAGTCGAGTACGGGATTACCATACGAGTCCGGTACACACATTTTGGACGAGTTACGTACGATAGTTTACGTGATATTTTAAAGGAGACACTTTAGTGTAAATCCAGTTAGGCAAATGGAAATTCGCTTAGTATGCAGGTTTGCTGCGGCGGGGGTATTTTACTCTAAAGTCATAAGTGATTTATTCAACCAGATTTACATAAGTTATGCATTGGTTACGTCAATTACAGAAATACATAAAATATATACAAAATTCCTTCTGCATGCCATACATAAGCTATTTACAATTGGTTAACATTTTAAATTTTGTTTGGAAATTCAATCATTATGCCCATGTAAAAATCTTTACCTTATTCTTATTACCCTCATAAACTCATTTTCGCGTATTCCAATTGTGTTGGTTCGCGGACTCATTCGTTGTAGGTTTACACGACACGTTTGTACAAATTTCATCAGGATCGTATTATTTTTGCCATGAGAGATTTTTTCGCTAATGGTAATAGCACAGACTATATAATACTTTGTCTTTGTTTCCATTGTCTGTGGTGTAAGTTTGATTTTTCCTTTGTCACGTCGCGTCAGTTCATATCGTACTTCTGTGCCGATGAATAACCCTCTAGCACAGTTTTGAGAAATTGGTTTTGAGGTTACTGTTAAAGCTGGAATTCCTTGACATGGGGGATGTCATAGTTAGTTGTCTCAGCCTTATCAGTTACATAAAGTTGTCAATATAATCT